TTTTAAAAAAAAAAAAAAAAAAAAAAAAAAAAAAAAAAAAAAAAAAAAAAAAAAAAAAAGAATTACACATTTTGAAAATAAATATAATAAATTTAGGACACATGTTGCCTGGATTCAAGTTTCTATATCCTGAGAATACTGAAATTAAACCTAGGAAAGGTCTACTCTCATAAATGGATAGAAATAATTTGTAGTCAGTAAACCAAAGAAACCGATCAAAAATAAGCTGGCAACAGTCTAAAATGGTAACTCCTGAGTGAGTTAAATAGTATATACAAATATGATGTTAACATTCTCAGCAAAACATTTCTGCAAAATAAGATTTTTGAAGTTTATGTTTCCAAAGAAGAGTTGAGCTTTTTTTCCTTCATATCTAAAATGCATTTAACATCTCGAAATGAAAAAATACAGGAAAACATTTAGTTAGGGTGTAATTCTTACCTGGAACCCACTTAATTTCCATTTCCATATCATTTTCTTTGCCTTTCTTTTCTTTCTCTTGAATAACCTCCAATAGTTGCCTATATTTAGCGATTTGTTCTTCATCGTCCTTCTGACTTTTCTTTGTTTTCCCATCTTCTTCTACACTGACTCCATCACCACCTAACAAAAAAATCAATTTCATTTAATACACAGAAACAGTTCACTTCTAACTCTAGTGTTCTGATCTCGTGGTCACTCCAGCACCCTTCTACAAGATGTTGTCAGACATACTGCAACCACAGAGTATCAAAATCAGGCTTAAACTTCTGAATATTAAGTGAATTAAAAAAAAGACTTAGGTCTTGCATACAATAAAAATCAACTATAATATAAATTAGCACTGTCATAGTAGTAATATGTCATAGTAGTAATAAATAAGCACTCTCAAAGGATCCTTGGGAATCCTTCTTATTGAAATTTATATTTCAAAATAATGCTGCAGTCACATAACATACTTGGACTTCTGTTTCCTATAAGCTGCAAGACAGCAAGGATAGCATTTTATTCCTCTTTATGTCCTCCACCATTCAGCACAGTGGCTTTAAAATGTTATTATATTCCATAAAAGGAGGCTGACTGCTGTTGGGATGAATTTTGTACATGGATTTAGCTGCTTAGGCTGAAGAAAAGAAATACGACTTGCTTATAATCCAAACCTAAGAATACTGACCATTTATCATTTGATTGTGAGCAAGTATGCTTACTCTAAGGATCTTAGTAATAAGCTAAAAATAAAAATGGATAAATTAGGAGTTAATTCAATTAATTTCAGTGTGTGGAAAAATATTCATATTTCCATTTCCTAGCTTTATAAAAATAATCAGAATACAAACAAACTGTATAAAATCCATGGGCAACAAACACCTAGAAGACTAATACAAAAATGAAAAGTTTGTTTGCTCTACATTTCCACTATAATTCTCCAAGTTAAAAACATAAATTAGGAACCTGGGTTTTAATGCAAAACATACAGATTTACTGAATTGACTAAATGTCCCCAGTAAGGGAAAATTTAAGAGCAGCATAATGAAGACCATGTCTTCTATGACCTATGACTAACTGGCCACCAAAAATGTCTAATATTATTAAGTATTTAGTGGTGACACATCAATGTTAACAGATTGTCCTTACATCTGAAAGAAGGTGATATGGAAAAAAGTTGGTTAAGTAAATATTTTTGTACTTTTTTCTCTAAAGGAATAAAAAATGGTCTAGGACATTCTTTCCATCCTATCACACTTTTACATTTTCACTCAAACAGCTGAAATTCATTTTTTTCCTGTTTGTGCTTTGTGCCACAATAATAATGTTGGATGGAATTCTGTCATGTATCCCGTAATTCAATGGATAAAACATCAGGAACGCATTAACAAAATGGCAATGTATTTCTTTCTATTAAAAGCTTACTTCTGAAAATGTAATTAGAAGCAAGCTCCTTCCAGGTTGAAATTTTAGTGGTAAATCTCTGATGACATACTTTAAATTGATTTTTTCCAGTACTAAAGTTTTACTTTCTGAAGCCCTAAAATGTGGATAACTGATATAGATCTATTTTTTCCCAATTCAAGGACAATAGTTGTGAAAGCCTTAAAACTATATAAGGAGTGAAAAAAAACAATTCTAACAATAAGCCACCCTGCTATGCTCTCTTATAAACAATAATAAGGAACATCTAGTAATTCTAAGGTATTCAAATATATTAATGTAGCTATCAGAGATACTAAATTAAATAATAATTAAATTAGATAATCAATTAAAACATTAAAGAAAAACGCATGCTTTAAAAAACTTATGAAACAAACAAAAAACCATTAATAATTTTAAGAAGTTTTAAGAAGTAACAATATACAATACAAAGTAGGATGCTAAGCACTTTATGTACATCATCTTAACCTTTCCAGCCATGAGCAAGTTACCATTATGATCCTCATTTCACAGTTATGAAAAGAAAGGCACAGGGGACAATATACAATACAAAGTAGGATGCTAAGCACTTTATGTACATCATCTTAACCTTTCCAGCCATAAGCAAGTTACCATTATGATCCTCATTTCACAGTTATGAAAAGAAAGGCACAGGGGACATAGGAAACTTAATCTATTTAACTTCACTATGTGGTGAAGTCAGGATTTGAAACCAGCAGATCCCAAGATCTTAACAGGAATGCATTTATGAATTAATGATTATTTATTCACAATATTAGCTACCCTAATGTTAATAATGTTATTTTAAAATTTAGTTCAGTTCTCCCAAACTAATCAAAGAAACCTGTTTGAAAACTTGTACCCAGTTTTCACAAGTGTACATGGAATGTTATCTTTCTTCCTTTATTTTAGAGCTGATAGTGAAGAAAAACTATCCAGAATTTTCAGAAAAGTGCTAAATGCCTATATAGGCATATGAATAAAAAGGAAATACAGATAAATAAATGTGACTTTCTCCACGTCTAAGGAGGAAAGGATTACATAAGGGCTATTTGAAAAACGGACTCGCTGTTCTATGTATGCTTAGAAATAAAATAGTCACTCTATTCCTTGGAATACTAAAAATATTAACAAGCAGCAGCCACTGAGGCCTCAAAAAACTGTAAAGGCTTTTGTGCCCAGCATAACTACCACTGCAAGTTATACATTTTCAAAGACTATTAAATACTGAAGCAATTATGTGATTTTATCATATGAGATGTCTGAACAAAGAAATTAGAATGATAAAACCCTATTTTCCATTCCATATGTGAAATACTGTTCAAAAGCAGTATTACATGAAAAAACTTAGATTAAATAAAGCACTATCTTCAGTAGTCTAAAAGAAAAGTAATCGGCTAATCACAGGATCTAAGAAAATCAAGGTTTAACAGCCCCATGGTAATACTAAAGAAGCATTTTAGGATTTATTTAATTTGTCATTTAGGATATAAAAACAATACATATGCAAAAGGAGTCAAAAAGACACCTTGGAAAAATGTTAAGCTACAAAGTAACGAATATTCATTTTGCTAATTTAAAATACTTATATCTATGTTTAACATTTATGGCTATTTGATTTCTGTCAGCACTAAACCCCTTACTCATAATTTTTCATGACTGGAAATGAAAATGTGAAGAAAGGGCTGGCCAGTTAGTTAGAACGTGGTGTTACAATACCAAGGTCAAGGGTTCTGATTCCCATACCAACCAACTGCCCCCCCTCCCCCAAAAGGGAAGGCAGTATCAGTCAGACAGTATTAACCAAAAACTGACATGACATTACAACTAAGCAACAAAATATCCAAGTGGAGACAGATCCAGTATAGGGAAAAAGGGCTTTCTTGGCTTTATTATTTTTTGAATGAGTTATTTTAAGCAAATAGCATACATGACTTTAAAATACACCATTAATCATTTCAATCATCAAAAAAAAAAAAAAAAAAAAAAAAACCTTAAATAGAGACAGTCTAAGAACTTTTGCTTCCATTAATGGCAAGTGAAGTGCTTCAGACCAACCCTTTCACTGAGGACATCAAATTAGATAAAATATGTAAAAAATCTTTTTAAAGCTTCACAGAGATTAAAAGAAGAAAGAAAGGTTTCAAAGAACTGAAAAGTCAGTGAAGAATTATCATGCCAAAAAGAGAAGAGAGTAAAGAGGGATGATCCCAGTGCTCAAGATCTATTTCACCCTGAGAGCATTTGCTATTTCCTGATCCACAGAAGAAACAGCTATGACACTCAACTGCAATT